TATGTTCTGCCAAGCCATTAGGAAGCAATACACACAAAAATTACATATAAAGACAACACAGTGCATATACTTCTGCCAGGCAAATCCCCTAACTCACCTGTTAAAATGATGCCCACAAACATCCACAAGCAGAGGAAAATGTTCCCTGCCCTGGGGCCATAATCTGTTATGAGCTTTCCTTGAGCCAATGTGAACAAAATTCCAAAAACCTGAAATAAGTGAAACAATTTTTATTAATTTTGCTTCTTTAAAACACATGTACATTTTCCCCCCAGGACCTTTTAAAACTAATATTCTTCACATATTTTGGCATCTAGAAACACTCACTGAAAAGTGAGATTGTTAAAACAAAAATTATGATCAAACTCATTATTCACTAGACTGTTTGGTACAACAGCCATCAAGACTAAGAGGAGCCAGAGGTTTACCTGGGCAGCAGCATTAAGAAGACCAGACGAAGTGCCCTCGGACTCAGGGTAAGTGATTTCCACAGCGAATTCAAACCCCAGCGGGAGGTAACCGGTCATGAAGAAACTAGGAAAACCAAGCCGGCATTACAGAAAGAACTATCAGAAGGACAACATCACACACTGACTCAACCATTCTATATCTCAGGCCTATTCCAATGCTTCATTCAGTGAGTATATTTTGGGGTTGTGATATGAAAGTGAGGAACTATTATTACTAACCAAGCAGCCCAAAGTCACAAGAACTGAAAATCCCAAAGATTTTTCCCCCCTCATTTTTTCCTTCTACTTTTCTAAGTCAGCTGTTTTTATTACCAATAATGTTACGTGGACTCAGTAAGGCTTATACATTTTCATCAACAGACTTTCTTTCCTCCTTACTTTTGCTTTTCTTTCTTACTAGGGATTATACCCACCAGGTCCCCTTAAAAATTTTTTTAAAAAATTTTTGAGACAAGGTCTTGTTAAATCACTGTTTCCCATGCAGGGCTTGAATTTGCAATCTTCCTGCCTCAGCCTCCTGGAAGGCTAGGGTTACAGGTGTGCACAAGCACACAAGGCTAAACTATTTTTTACAGTTTTGAAGAATTATACACTTACATGCACACAATGGGTCTTATAGGGTTAAACTACTAAAGGACTTTTGGATGAACTTAAAAGATTAGTAAATTAAAGTAATAATACTTCAGAATTATAACAGCATGGTATCATTTTTCCTAAATATATCTCATACTTACCCAAGTATCCCTCCAGTAACAAACACGATGATAATGTAGTCAAGGTCCAATGTGAAAGTAAATATAATCATTCCAATAAAAGACAAAATGTAAACTATCAGAGTAGTCTGTCTAAAACCAAACAACAAAATTGTTAAGAATTTTTCTAGGCATATAAAAATCATGTGACTAACCACTGCTCTATCCATACAGCAATAAATCTACATTTGAAAATTCACCCCTTCTTGTTTACAGAAAATGTATTCACCAAAACACAGACTTTAAAGATTAAATTTAAGATTCAATAGCGGCAGTCAACAAAACTCACGCCATATCCAATGCTCAAGCAGAAAAGGCTACTCATGAGTAGTTAAGAATCCCATTCCACATGAATCCTATTTCAAGATTCAAATCAAATTTCCCCTCTTCCAAACGCCTTCCCTAGCCCCTACAGCATACAAGATTCTCTTCCCATCTCCCTTATCACCTACACCTACATACCTGGCACTTATGAGTCAATGTTAGTCTGTTACTTTACCATTTAACTTTGCCTATGTGAGTGCCTTATTGGCCCCATTTAGAGCACAAGTCCCTTAGGGACCGAACTTGCCTACCGCTGGCCATAACCCCCCAGCAGGAGAGATGTGCACAACGGGACGGATGAGAAAGAGGCAGCTACCTTGGGAACCCAAGCTCCCCCAAGAACGTATTGTTGCCCCTGCCAAGTCTCCTAATCCATCATGGACCGAGACTACTAGGGAACTGAATCCTGTACACATGCTCCTTTCACCTACAAACTGAGCAGATTTCACTCTGAGCTGTAATTTTTTTGGGGGGGGGGATGGAACTCAGGACCTTGTACTTTCGAGGCAGGCAGCGGCACCACTGAGCTAAATCCCTGGCCCTGAACTGTAATTTTATAATAAAACCACAGACAGTGTTGTGTTAAATTATGGGAGAATTATCCTGGAGAATTTCAAGGTCGGGGTACTTCCGGAAGGATTTAGAATAATACAGTAGTTAAATGTAGCTGGACCTTGAAAAGTGTACATGACTTTTCTTTCTCTCAATAAATTTTTCCTACTCTTAAAAAAAAAAAAAAGAAAAATGTACATGACAGAGTTCCATATTTCACTCCATTCTTTTATTCACGAACAGTTCCATTCACTAATTCTCCCAAGCAGAGACAGGAGAAGCTTTAGCCCTTTAGATGTGCCCTGGGGCTAGGAGTGTAGTTCAGTGGGAAACCACTTGCCCAGCACTCGCAAGGTCCTGGCTTGGATCCCTAGCACCACAAAAAAATATGATAAAAGAGAAACTGGCTAATCTTTTAAGGCCAAAGCAGAAGAATGCTGCCACTGAAACCCTGCTCTGGTTTCCTAGTCGTATCACTTCCTCTTTCTTTTATATTAAAAACACTGTTTCCATATACAGGCACAATTAAAATAGCATCTTCATACTATGCATTGTATTATAGTTAAATGGTACTGTAGTTTTAGGGACATTTTGGTCAAAAGTTTTTTTACCAAAACAAAAGTCTTATCCTCAATGTTTTTTTTTTTTATAAGAACAGTATTTTGTATTTTAAGCCCACAGAAAAAGAAAAGAACAAGATCAAGTCTGTCAAAAGTCAAAGGTTCCTCAGAAGGAGCTTTTCTTTTTAAAATACAGATATGCTCCCTTCTAAAGTATGTATGGGTATTGTCAGAGGGGAAGAAGGTTCATATGGTATATCCAAATTCTCAAGGTTGAAATAAGTATGACCAATAAAATAAAACAATATGTAGGTTATTGAAACATTTACGAAATGAAAGGAGCCAGGACATGTTTGGTAACACTTAGATCTCTGAAAATAAAAAAGGAAGTTCTACAATCCAAACTCCCCATATTCCCATCACTCACTTGTACGTTTTGGTGTAGTCCAGCCATAAGCCACACAGAATGGAGCCCAGCATTCCGGCCACCACCAGAGTGAGCCCAATCCTTCCCGCATTCACCTCCTGATCCTGAAAACCATGAGCATGAGAAGCTGATCAGACACGGACCCTGCACACCCCACCCTGTCCGCAGTCATGGGAATCATCAGGTAAACTGAGGCACACATTGGGAAGATTCAGTGCATGGATTAGAGTTGGTGAGCAGTGGCAAGTAAAAAACAAATAAAGCCAGAAAAAATAAAAATAATGGGAGAAATAAAAAAAATTTCTTTGGTCCTCTGTGATTAAAAGCACAATTTTTGTTAGGATTTGTACGTAATTTACAGATGTCTGAAAAGGGTTTATATAGTACAGCTCCCTTATTTTAGGAGCAGAAAGGCCACTCAGAACTTGGTATTTGCTTCTTATGTTGATTCCTTTGAAATGTTTTGCCGTTTTCCATATATCAATAACTTAATCCAAAACAAAACAAAACGGCATTGCCAGAGTGATAATTCTGCTTTCAGCTGGATGTGGCAGCATATGCCTGTAACCCCAGTGCTGAGGAAGGAGGCTTGAAAATCCAAGATCCACCTGAGCAACTCAGTAAGTTCCTGTTTCAAAAAATAAAAAGCATTGGGGATGTAGCGTAGTACAAAGGCCCTGCATTCAATCCTCCATACCACCAAAGGAAAAAAAGTCTGCTTTTAATGTTTTAGGAATTTAACTAAATGTGTTTAATAAAAATTACAGGCAATCACTGCTTTGGATTTAGCTCCTGCCCTGGGGCCAAGAGACCAGACAAATCCAGAATGGAATCACCTGTGCCAGGTGCCACAAGGCCACCACGAACATGAAAATGGCCCAAGAGTCACTGCAGCCCAAGAGAGGGAGCCCAGCCCTCTGCTCGGCCTGGTGAGGAAGCTGCAATGTGATCACCAGTCCACTCCAGGTCCTCGTTTCTGCTGCTTCCGCCCTTCTCCGCCTATAAAGCCCATCCACTCCTGTTTTCGGAGCACCTTTCCCCTCAGGAGGGACGTTGCCTGATCCCCAAGCTCTTTCAATTTGGTAAAATTTTGCTTCACAAATGTGTTCTCATTAAAAACAAAGGTAAATCTTTTACACAACAAGATTATAACCCTAAATCTTATGATTATGCTAACAGGAATTATATGGAATAATCCTAAGCGGGGTGTACAATATGATAAAAAGAGAAGCTTACCTTATAATATGTCAGTATCATTTGGTTTAATAATGTTGAGACTGCATAAAATGCTCCAGTCATGATACCTGAAATAATAAAGAAGAAATTATATATGTATCATTTATCAGTTCATCAAGTGGCTCCGAGCACTGTGTGACAGCTGTGAAAATACAATGCAGTTTTTAGGCAGCTGAAAATTTAGTGACGACTGCCATTCCCTTCCGGGATGTGTACTGATCAATTTAACACTAAATTGACGAGGGATCAGTGCTATGGTTTGGCTGTGTTCCCCCAAGGATCGTGTGTCAGCTTGTCCCCAGTATGGTGGGGGTGAGGGGAGGGACCCTTCAGAGGCGGGGCCTAGAGCAAGGTCCCCAGGAGGGGTTAACACTGGGCTCCCAGAGGTGTCGCACAGCAGCTGCTCCTCTGTGCTGGCCCCTTAGCTCGTGCCACTGCCCATTTGCTCCTCTCCCACACTGGTGTAGCCAGGCCCTCAGCACCCACTGAGCAGACGGGGTCACCAGATCTTGGACTTTCAGCCTCCAAAGCTGAAGAGGCTAAACAGACCTCTTTTCTTTACGAAATTCTCAACCTCAGATGTTTTGTGATAGCAATAGAAAATGGATTGGGCCAGGGATTTAGCTCAGTGGTTCCACCACCTGCCTCGCAAGTGCAAGGTCCCGAGTTCGATCCCCGGTACCAAAAAAAGAAAATGGATTAATATGCTACATTAGCAGACTCCTGTCATAAGACTGTTGTTATTTAGATTCAGATATACCGACCATAAACCACATCCCCACACACGCCACTGTACACAGTGACCCCTCCAGCCACAGGTTATGTACTGAGCACCCACAGTACCTACAGCCAACAATGTTAAAAGCACAACAGAATCCCTATTTCAGAGAGATTACCTTGGATCAGATTTACAGGGTAATTTGTTACACAAGGCAACATTAACTGAAGAATATTCACAAAGACAAAATTAACAAGAGCAGGAATCACCTGCACAGGTTTAAACCCTAATGTATCCTTGAATGTACTGAATGAATTTTGGTAAGCTTCCTGACCTAGTTGAGATTTAGTCCAATCTCAATCTCAATCTCAATCAATCAATCTGTCTCTCAGGTTCCAGACACACAAACACTACAGAGAACACTATAACAAACAACCTTACTCACCACCCAGCTCCATCAAATATTAGTGCTCTGTCAACTTTCTTCAGATTCATGTTTTGTAGACCTTTCCCAATCCTATTCTTCTCTTCTTTCCCAAGGCTAACCCCAAGCTTGATACTGGTGTGCATAATTTTATATATTACTGTACATGTACATTTCAAACAATTACTAACTTTATATAAATACGATTATTTAAATCCATTTGTAACTTGCTCTTATGCTGTGACTCACTATTATGGCTTTGAGCTCTATCCGTGTTGACACTTTTCACCCTCATTCATTAGTTTTCTCTGTTCATTCCACTGTGGGAATATACTTAGATTTAGACATCTATAGTCCTATTAACAGACATCTAAGAGTTTTTTCCCAGTTTTCCATTATTTAAAACAAGACTGTAATGAGTATGTTTTTGTTCTTACATGCAAGCGTTCCTCCAAGAATGTATCTAGGAGAACTTCTACTTTTTTGATGTAATCCAATCACTTTTAAGGTAATTACCCATTTATACCACTAGCAGAGTTTCCATACCGTCATACCTTAGCCAAATTTGTCTTCATCAGATTTTTAGGATTTGTTTTGTTTTCTGGCAATCTGAACATGCATACTAGTCTATCTTACTCTGGTTTTGATGTATATGTCCTGTATTACTAGCATGGTGTAGCATCATGTATGAACAATACATGCATGTACACACGACTGCTTTCTGGTTTTCTTGGAATTGTGTTTTTATTGATCTGCCAGGGTTTTTTTGGTACCGGAGATTGAACTCAGGACCTTGTGCTTGCGAGGCAAGCAGCAGAACCACTGAACTAAATCCCCGGCCCTCCAAGAGTTATTTTTATGTTATGGATACTAATCCTTTATTGGTTATAAACACTGCAGACAATTTCTCATAATCAACTGTTTTGTCTTTTCATTTTTTTAATGGTGTCTTTTTAGAAAAGACTGTTATTTTGATGTAGTCATATTTATCAATATATTTCTTTAGGATTTATGTTAATTGCATTAAGAAATCCTTAAGAATATTACAGTCTGCTGTATTTGTTCCTAAAACTTTACAGTTCTGAGTTTTACTCTTTGATCTGCAACCCATTTTGACACATGATATGATATGGAGACCTCCAATTCCACCTTACTTTCCCCATATGGTCAATTACCCCAGACAATTTACTAAGTAAGTTCTCTTCTGCCAAACCTCAAGTTTTCATATGTTTATATTGGGCCAGTCACTGGATTGGTTTGTAAACATTCTAGTTTTTCTTTTTCCAGGCACGGCTGTGTGACTTTAAATGTGACCAAGGTCACACTCTCTATTTCTTGCCTCGGTAACTCTGGAATGGGGTAGAGATGTCAGAGTCGTGAGCAGAACCGTGCTGCCAACTGATACCTAAGAAGCACACTGGTGCTGTCAGGCCGCTAACCTGGCTCTGGTGGCCTCACTGCTCTAGTGTAACTTAGGCTATGACAAGTGATGGTCACACAGGCAGGCCCCGTGCTCTCTGGCGTTCCAGCAGTCTACCCTAGCCCTTGCTACTCTTGGCATCTCGTATCCTAGCTTTATAAATCTTGAGAGCTGAAAAGGAGCCCCCACCTGGTTCTTCATCAAAATTTTCTTTGTTGCTCTGGGCCCTTACTTCTGTCAAGGAATTTTGGAATTAGGTTCTATTACGATCCCTGCTTAAGCAAGGCTGCAGGAGATCTGCAGCTGGTCTGAATGGCACTGGCCTTTGTTAGTCACTCAGCGCCCGTAGTGCACAAAGCACCTAGACGACACGGGCTCACAGGGAAGGCTGAGGGTGCAAGTGAGGCTGGGCCAGGGCAGAGTGCATGCCGCTGTGCCACACCCTGTGGTACCTGGAATCTGGTCCAGACCCAGGAAGGACAGCAAGAGTCTGGATTTGTAGCAAGGCAGGCTTTGTGGTCTGAATTAGAGGATGGTATTATCTGCATTTTAGATAGCAAAAGACAACAGCTGGCATAGTGAGAAATTTTTTCTCTAAATAGCCTGGCCTCAACAAAGAAACAAACAAACAAATAAACTTGTCTTGGTTCCTTTGGTTCCTGAGTTTTGGACACTATGTATGCAATTCTGAAAAGCTGCTCCAGGAGTCCAGGTCCCCATCCAGACTGTTCCACGTGCAAGACTGCTGCAACCTCACATACCGAATACAAAGCACACAGAGGGACAAGTGTTTGCCCAAAAGGTGTGGCGCTACCTTCACTCAAACATTATGCTCCTGAGCTCTGAGCCCAAGAAACTTCCCATCCAACTGTAATGGAGCCATTGTTGGAACTCTTTGCCTGTGTAAACATGCTGAGAGGGTGAAAGAAATAGTGGCACAGAACTGCGGAGATCAGAAGGAAGGTGTTTGCACGCAGAGCCGTGTCTGCGTGCTGAGTATGTCTGGGACAGTGGCTGGTTCCAAGCCTGGTGGAGAGTTTTGTGGTAGAAAATAGTGAGGGATAAAAGAGCGATACAAGAAAGTCATCTTCAATGACAGCCTTAGGAAATCAATTTGGTGTCACACACAATAGTGAGCCAGGGCATTTCCCTGCTTCCTAGATTTGAATTTTAGGTTTAACCTAGACAGGGAAATCACCAGCAAAATTAAGAAAAATATTCAAGGATGAGAGGATATAACATAGGAGACTGGCTTTAAAATATTCCAGGAAAAAAATGGGGGAAATAGACAAAAGAAGAGTGACAGAAAGCTGGTGACCTGGGTGACTTCGGACACACTTGATGAGTCCAGAGGAGCTGCAGAGATTCAAGGTTCTACTTTTGTGGCTGGCAACGCCCATTAGAAAAAGAGGAACTAATCCTGGGAAAAGAATTAAGAGTTCAAGTAAGGACATGATTTGTTACAATTCTAAAACGTTATGTACTAGGATGCATGCCTGAAAACAGCAGCGAGTGACTTCTGAAGTGAAGCAGGACAGAAATGGGGTCCTGGTGGTCAACACGTGCAGCGTCAACGCAAGCGACAAAACCCAAACTGTCCAAAAACTCTGAAAAGAACCAATGTGTTTGTACCTGTAGTCAGGGTTACAGAGTTAAAGGTGAGGATAAATACATGTTAGCTATCCCAAAAGATCTAGAAAGATGAGAATTGTTTTTAAAATTAGGACTGGTTACAGTGACTTCCTTCATGTCTAGTTTTCACATGGGAGTCAAAAAAGACACTAGCTACACTTGGTGAAAGAAAGGAATTGTTGAAATTTCCCACATGTTTATAGCAGTCATAAATCCAGTCATAAATGGGCTAAGGTACTCTTTGAGAAATCACAAAAGACAGTATTTCTCTATTTGAGATCTATTTTTTCTTGTATTTTAAAACATGTGAAAAAAATCCACCTTAGCATTTTTGCATTTAGTTCAAAATATAAGTTCATGATTACGTTGTGGAGTTCGCAAACCAATCTCATTAAGATTCAAACCACCATGTTAAATGAAAACAATTCATGTTGCTCAGTGACTTCAAAGAAAATGCAAGAAAACCACTTACCATAAGAGATCAGCAGAAGGACAAAAGGAATGTTTTTAAACAGGTTTCTTATCGATTTCTTATAGGAGTACTCCTCTGGGGGACTGTCCTGAAGAGCTGCTTGAGCCTGACTCGGTGGGTATGGGGGTTTTTCCTTGAATGCTAGGAATGTACATGGAGAGAATAATATGGATCAATATATAGGTAATATATTGCCATATATATAACTGTATGTATCTTTCTTAGTGAACTGACAATTCAGCTTAAGTTTAAAGAGGTATAGAAGGCTTTCACAGTGAGGCTTCTCATTTTCACTCATTTCTACGTAAAAACCAGTTTGGCATTATCATCTCGGCCCTCTAAAACTTAAGAGATTTGGCCAGTTCCCATAGCTGAGCTGCAAAACCATCAGTAAAGTGCTACCAGCTTGACCACTGATTATTCCACTTTTAGGTAATCAAGATCAATTTTTACTACATCAAAGATTCTTTTAAATTCAGTTCAATTTATAATTAGAAGTAGACATTAGAGTAAGCCAATATACTGCTGAACTTTTAGAGGTCTCTCCTGAATTAGTAGCTATCTTCTCCTGAAACTTGTATAGAGTTAATCCCCAATCCAGTGACACCTTGGGCTGAAAGGTGCAGTGGATTCTGGGGCGAGGCTAGGCCTTTCTCCCTGACTCACTGGAGCTGCACAGGAAAATATAAGGGTAAAGCTAAGAGACAGGAAAGTGTAGGGTGTCTGATGCTGTAAACATCAGCAGTGTTTCTAGTTAGATTTCACACCATTCTCGGCCAGATATCAAGAACCTCCCCTACTTAAAAAAAAAAAATCATACTTACTAATTTATGTTAGAGAACTGGGGATTGAACCCAGGGCTTTGCCCATGTGAGGCAAGGGCTCCATCACTGAGCCACATTCCCGGCCTTAGAGATTCTCTTTCGGTGTGCCAGGAAGGGTCTGGCAACTTCCTACAACACGAGGTAAGAGGGAGACTTTGGTAGGGTTAGTGCTATGGTGTGGAAATTGTGTCCCAAAGGCCCAAGTGTTAAAGGCTCAGTCCCAAGGAGGCAGAAGACTCCCCAGAGTGGGTACCTTCCAGCATGGGCCTCAGGTTATGTTACGGGGTGTCCCCTTGGAGGGAGCTGCAGGACCCAGCCCCTTCCTCTTCGTCTCTTTTGCTTCCAGACTCATAAGCTGAGCAGCTTCCTCCACCACAGACTCCCCACCATTGCCGCCCAGCACATCCGTAAGAAGCCTAAAGCAATGAGTTGGGCCAACCATGGACTAGAACTTCCAAAATTATGAGTCAAAATAAACCATTTTTCTTTATAAGCTAGTTCTCTCAGGTATTCTTTTATAGTAGTGGAAAGCTGTCCAACAGTTAGCTGACCAGAAGTCATGAATAAGTGACAGAAAAGCTGAAGAGTTGAAAAGCTGAGAGAAGGTACGTCAGGAATTAAAATCTTATCTTTGTAGTTGCCGAAAATTCTAAATTATTCACTCCAGATTTTTAAGTACAATAGGAAGAAGATACTGTACCATGGAATGTAAGATACCTGCGCTCACTGATCTTGCCAGATATCAACAGGTTTCCACATAACAAAGTCTCCATTACCATAAATGTTTTTGTTTGTTTTGGTACCAGGGATCGAACTCGGGACCTTTCGCTTGTGAGGCTGGCACTGGAACCACTGAGCTAAATCCCTGGCCCTGTTTTTTGTTTTTTGGTACTGTGGATCGAACTGAGGACCCTGCACTTGCAAGGCAGGCTGTGGAACCACTGAGCCAAACCCCCAGCCCTCCATTACCATAAATGTTAGATGTCACTATTAAAAGTGTTTTGTTTTCAAAGATTTCATGAAAAAATGTATCCCTTAGAATTAATGAAACAGGGTAATTTTAAAAAGAAAAAAAACAAGGTAAACAGATTCAAGGAAAAAAATCTTTCTTGGGAAGATTTATAACTTCTGCTTTTCATCTTCTCTCACATTTCTGCCCTTCTT